AGCCCTCAATAATTGGGAATAAAAAAGGAAATAAAGATACAAATTTCTTCCCTGGGATTTTCTAAACAATGGCATACTTACTGACTAAATCTCTTATTCTAATCAATAAAAAAGTAGTTGCCTTACTATGATGGAAAAAGATCTCTTTCAGGGGCCTCACCAGTGGCGCAGCTCACCAGTTGAGCACAGTGCTATGAAGCTGGCCGCAGCCTCTGCAGCACAGGTTCAATTCCCTGCCGGCTAGGGAGACACCCACATGGCAGGGCAGACCTCTCCTGCCTCTCCCGCTGCTCCCCTCAGCAGTGTCTTTGTCAGTCTGCCTGTTCTGCTCCCTGCTCTGTCTCTGGTGAATTCTCTCACCCTCCCATGCCTCTGGCCTGTACCCCGGCTCTTGTATGAATAAATAAATCTAAAAAAAAGACCTCTTTCAGCATTCATTGTTGAAGGAAATTGTAATTGAGGTTGGGTGATGTGGGGGCATTAGGTGTCCTAAGTTCAACGGTAACTCCACTAGGTAGGTGCAGGGCTGATGGACATCTCATGAGATGGTAAATTGTGTATGATGCTAATTGTCTTAAGCAAATACAGCAGACCATCTTGAAGCAGGTAGATGGGATCACGGGGGAAAAAAAAGAAAGTGAATTCTAGTATCAACAACTTAACACCTCTCAGATGAGTGAAAGCTGTTCAATTATATACAAACAGAGATTTGTGGGCTTAGTTTTAATTTTGTAAAATTAAGGTGTCAAAAAATATAACTGCCGAGGTTTAATTCAATTCTGTCTTTTTTATGGCACCACATCATGATTCCCTGGATGTTAAAATACAGGTTTTTTTCCCCAGAGTACACATATATTGTAAGTCAGCGAATAAACTGGAAGCTCAAAGTCCACAAATAAATATCACACAATTATGGAGAAGAGTATGATGCAGTGATTAAAGAAAGGCTTTCGTAATTAGCACAGGACCAAACACTGCTATATCCCAGATGTGTGGATTTGAACAAGTTCTGACATTCCTGGGGCTTATTTCTTCCCATAAAAAGTATCCTACAGGGATACAGGTGAGCACTTGAGATGGTAAACAACTATATTGTAATTCTTACTGTCTCTGGGACTGTTGGTTTCAAAGAACAGAAATTAATTAGAACCAGCTTTACTAAAAAAAAAAAAAAAACAGCACTGATTAAATGATACCAAGAGTTCAGAGGGAGCCCAGTTATCACAAGTACGGCTGGGTCTCCTGAAAATAGGAGTAGAGCTGTGGAAGAAGCAAGCCTGCTTCTTAGCTCTTTCTCTTGGCTATGCAGCTCTCCTTTCTGCATCTTCCTCTCTGCAGATTGGCTTTCTTGTTTCTCCCAGCTACTGGAGATGTGGTCCCCAAATGGCAGTCTCTGCTAAAAGCCCACATGGCCTGCAGCCTAGACCCCCACAGCTGAGTCAGTCATGGTGATCCAACTCCAAATTCCCAACAGATAAAATAATGATAGGCTGGGTTTTGATTAGGTGTAAATTCTTGGTCCAGAGAGCTGTAAGGCCAACTGGCACAGAAGGACTACCTCTCTTCATGTGGCACGAAAGCCCTCTCTCTGGATCATGGGCTGGCAGTGGTGCTGGTATATAAGTCTTAAGTGTTTTGTGTTCAACTCTTTAAAAGAATTACATGGTGCTCATCTGGCTTTATAGACACCATTCTAACACACACCTCTCTCTCACTCTCTTTTTTGAGATTTATTTTATTTATACAAGAACCAGGGTACAGGTCAGATGTGCGGGAGGATAAGAGGATTCACCAGAGACAGAGCGGGGAACAGAACAGGCAGACTGACCGAAGTACACTGCTAAGGGGAGCAGCAGGCGAGAGAGGACAGGTCTGCCGCGCCATGTGGGCATCTCCACAGCCAGCAGGGATAGAACCGGCACTGCAGAGGCCGCAGACAGCTTCACAGTGCCATGCTCAACCACCTGTGCCACCAGGGAGACCCCAAACTTCACTCTTTTTTAATGCAAAAACAGGAAAAGAGTAGAGCTTTGGAGAGAGCATCCTAGAGGCAGATGCATTGAATATGATGCCCTTGGCTTGATAAAAATAGATGAATCCTAAAAAATAATAATGAAACGCAGAGATGTAGGAATTCAAAACTAAAGAATTGTTAAACCCTGTAATGAACACCAACACAGTGGGCCCCAGGAACATTATTGTCTTCAGCAGCAAGCCTATGTATAAAACTATTTTATAATAATCTATAAAAGGTTATACTTGTTTAGGAAATCAGGACACATTATTGAAAAGTTCTATTAAAATAGCTAAAATCTCATCCATTCACACATTCATTATTCATTCATTCAGCAAACATTTAGTGTGCATGTATTAGTTCTTGGCTTTTGCTATACATCACAGGTGTTCAGTAAGAAGGGAAAATCAGACACCTTACTTGGATGCAGAAATTGACCAGGAGAGGAAGCCTCAGGGATAGAACCCTGGGGGTGGTGCTTACAGAGCAGTTTTGGAACAAGGAGAGAAAAGGCATTCCAGGCAGCGCAAACAGCAGATTGAGAGGCAGAGAGAAGTGAACTAGCCAGGCCCCATTGTGCATTTAAAGTGGTCCCTTGGGTCTGGAATATACAAGCAAGAGTGGGGTAGTGGTGAGGGGAATGGGTGCTGGGCCAGAGAAACCGGCAAGAGGCCGAATAAAAGGGGCCAGGGCTGAAGGGGCTAAACTATGGAATCTGAACATTATCCTGACAGTCAATAAGAGGTCAGTGAATGACTTTTCATCATCAAGGGGATGACTTGACCTGTCTTCTGAATTGCAGAGATTATTCTGGAGTCTGGGGCTTGGGAGGGAGAGAGGAATAGGTGAATTGAATTACTTGTTGTAGTGAGTCAGGAGAGATGCAAAGAAGCAGAAGTTACTGTAAGAATTCAGAGGTGTCAAATTTGAGGGACGCTGAGGAGAAAATCCAAATGACCTGCGGGTTTCTAGAGGTGCCGTTCACTGGTGTAGAGAATAGAGAAAAAGGGCAGGTGTAAAGGGAAAGACTGAGCTCAAAGTGCCGGGATTTCCAATGTGGGGTGCTCCTTAAGCGGCTGGAATAAGTGTCCAGAGATCAGGAGAGAATTTTTGTTCAAAGATAAGGGTTTAGGGCTCATCAGCAGATGGTGGAGGCGCTGTGAGTAGAGCTGGAGGGAAGAGGGAGAGAACATCCCCAGTGAAGCCTGGGGCAGAGGCAGAGAGACCTTGAAGCAAACTAAAAAGAAAGGCAAAAAGGGAGATAAGAAAATTTCAGGAAGTGCCAAATGTGGTAGTGGCAAAATGGGTGCATTTCTCAAGATGGGGAAGAATTGCTCATATTGATAGGACGCTGAGAGTCAGTAGAAAGGGGAGAGGAGACAGATGCAGAGAGAGGAAGACTGAATGGAGCAAAGTCCTCGAGCAGGGAACAAGAAGATTCCAAAGCCTAGATGGAGGGAGGCCCTCAGACAAAAGGAAGGCCAGACCTTTCACTGAGATAGGAGAAGGAGGAAAGGATGCGGCCAGACAGATAAGTTTGCACATGGCAGGGGGGAGGAAAGTGAGGGAGGTGTCGATTGATGGCCTCAATTTTCTCCATGAAGGAGGAGGCAAGGTGACCTGCTATGTGGTGTGGGGGAGCTGCTAAAGCAGGAGGTGGTTGAGGAAGAGAGAGTTTGGTATTATAACTGCTAAGAGCAATGGGGAGCCGATGGAATGGCTGGAGACAGAAAGATTATGGGGAGTTCTGAGCATCCAGCTGAGTTGGGAGAATATAAACGTGTCTCAAATTCACAAGTGTGACATTTTCTCCCAAAGCTTTTAAAAGTCTAGGCAGAGTAGCAAGAAATTGAATGGTTAGATTGAACCAGGGCTGAGTTTTTATAGAGTGATTGTCACAGAAAGTTAGACTGTCAAGGAACTGTAGAATATGGTGCCGAGAGGGTTGGAGAGGTAGGTTATAGGATGGAGGACAGAGAGAGAAGGATACAAAGTCAAATTTCATTGTTAGATCGGAAGCAAATGATCCTGACACTCAAGGCCTTAATAGGTAGGTGTTTGGGGGAACAAAAAAAGGGGTGAGCTGACAAGCACCTGCTGACACCAGCGGGCTGCTGAGGTTTCAGGAGATTGAAGCAACCTGTTCTGGGGGCTTTGGAGTCTGGCATCAGAGAGCTGATCGTGTCTTCCTGAAAGTCTCCCCTAACGCTCCACCACCAGACTTTTTCTCCAGCCTCTGAGCTCCCAGATCATTTTGTTTGCATAGAAGGGGCATTAAAGCACATTAAATCTAGGCCCTCAGCATGAGTCTGGAGACCTGGGTTTTGGTCTTATTTTCAGCACTTTTAAGCTCTGCAGGCTTGGCCATAGTTTGAATCACCAAACAAAGGCTCTCCTGACCAGCCTGCTTGCTCAAGGACAGGTTATTCTGCCCATGTGCAGTATGTGTTCACACGCCTCCTGTCTTGATGTAATTTGTCTGCCCACATTTCTGGGGGAGAGAGATGGGAGAAGCAGAGCCTGCGTTCCTTACTGTTCTTTCCATTGCTCCCCCAGTATCAAAAGAATCCTGGAGCAATTCCACTGGCAAAGGATATTTTGCTTGATAGAATTTCCTATGTTCATTTATATTTTAAAACTCTCAAAACCACATTTTGAGAGAGTAGCAAATCCAAGAAGCTTATAATGCTATGAAGGCAAATATTTGGGGAGGAGAAAAAAAGACCCTTTAAAATCTGAGCTGTGTTATCTGATGGAGGTCAGCAGAGACAGACCAAATCAACAAGCATGACATGAAGGGCAAATCTGCAATTAAAAGAAGAATAGGGAATTATAAAGATGGATGAGCCCCACTACACGGATGCCCAAGCCTGTGTGGCCTTGGCCTCAGATGCCAGAAATTAATGCTTTACTCTTTAGCACTCGTCACCTTTGGCTCTGAACAGAAAGGCAAATGCATTAAAATAACAACAATTAGAACACTTACTTAGCTTGGAAGGCATTGTTGGTTCCCCTGTGGTCGAGGTCATGACACAGGCATCCCACAATCACAGCTAAAATTTCCACCTCTGTCAGAATCTCCTGGAACCCAGCGGTCTGGGAAGAAGGGAAAAAGGCAGTAATCACTACTCAGGCCAGAGAGGATGGATAAGGTTCGTCAGGTTAGCAACAATCAGCTCTGTTTTCATACCCGCATCATTTTAGGAAATGATGAACTGCCACCTCTACATGGCGGTGAGCTGGGTGGTCCCCAGCACAAGCCGAGGTCCCCACTGTGATGAATGAGCTCACTGTCACAGAGGCCGGCGCTGGCACACCGGGACAAAGTTCAGACTGTTTTGCTCCCTTTTTAGAGGAGAGGCTGCACCATCCAGATACAGTGACAGTTTGGCAAAGGCCCAGAGCCAAATGTGTTCTGTGATTCTACATTTCATGAGCATTGTGCTCGGTGCTGCAGGGAGTTTAGAACTGAACGCTGTACCCACCAGATGCCATGCAAATGAAAGCTGACAGAAAAGAAAACCTTTAAAAAGATACTAATACATAGACATATATATTAATAAATAAAATATAAATGTATTAATATGTTAACATATATACATCAATATGTTAATATATTATGTATCTTAGCAACTTAGAAGGCTCCAATTATTACATGACGATATTTTAGAAATTATCTGGTAAATGACTTAATCCGTATTAGTTTAGTGGGCAGGTGAAATTTATACACATACAAAGGCAGCGCGTGTCTTGAAAAATGAGAATTTGATAGAGGATTAGGCAACCCTTGAGGATCAGGTGGAGTATCCATTACATGGAATTCTTTTTTTATTATCCTCTGGTAGCTGGCTTGTGAAATGCATAGTGTGGCGTGATTTCTTCTGGGAGCAGTGTAATTACGTAACCCAGGGCAGCTATGGGTCTTGGGTTCCTGCTGGTCCTTCCATTAGTTTAGAGGAGGAAGCAAGCCTCTGCAAAACAAGTCTATACATTTTCCTGATCCAAGGCCTTTATGTCTCTCCCTTTTTACTTTGCAAGTCTCCCATTTCATTACTTATTAAAATCCTTAGCAGAGGGCAGGAGGAGGGGAAAGGTAGGGTTCAAATTGCTTCCCTTTTCATGTGTTTTTCCCTAAATCTAAGATCATGAGCTAGTATTTGTAAGACACTGGCTTAAAGCAGTGAAGACTTTTTTTTTATTAGTTATGTTTTTACTGCAGAAATAACCAAACAAGGGGCTTCTGCATTGACAATTTTGTTTTTTAAAAATAATTTGGGTCCACTGCTACATATAAAAATACCTATCATTTCATTTGTGTGAAGGCATGTGACTGAATTATCTGGGAGAAAAGAAGAGCTGTGTGTGTGCACCTTCATTTTAAAATTTGGAGTTGGTTGTTGGTTTTCAGTTCATTTTTTTTTACTTAAAATATTATTTACAATAGTGTTAAGATTCAAATGTAGTAATAATTGGAGCCAAAAATAGCAGTTCCTCATCCTTCCTCTTTCCTAATTCCCAACGATAATTATATTTTTATTTTATGTAATTTAGTATGTATTTTCTAACATATTTTTGTAGAGTGCTTATTTATTGTTCATCAGCACTTACATTGTCCTGCCTACATGCATGACACTGTCCTAAGAGCTTTACAATTGTTTAACTTACATAATTCTGAAAATAGCCCTGTGAGGTAGGAACTATTATTATCCCCAGGGTTAGATGAGGAAACTGAAGCACAGAGATAACTTATGTGCCCAAGTTCTCACAGCTAGTAAGTGGCAGAGGTGGGCAAACTCCCTGCATATTCAGAGTTTACCCTTAAACACTGGTGTCTTGTGGCAGGTGAGAAGTTTTCTTTACCTCCCTTTTCCCTCCTTCTCTTTCACTGGAATCCATACACAATGCTTTCCATCTTGGCCTCTCTGTGTGTGAGTCACTGTGGAGCCAACTGGTTTCCATTCTTATGTAAATGATTTCATTTCCTGGAGTTAAGATTTCTTTGCATGTGGAAGTTTTCTTGCATCCTATACCACTCTGCAGTCACTTCTTTTATTAGATCTCATGCTTGGTCTGGCGACTCCCTCCTGCGCCTAATCCTACTCTTTGGCCTGGACTCTGTTGCCACATTTCTCTCCTGGATTCCATCTCCTGTCTCCTGCAGACCCTTTCTCTCTCTTCTCTCCTCATTTGCTTCCTCATTTTGTGGGAGCACTCTGCCAGTGGCTTCATGGGAATTGTATAAATTTTTCAAACCTGGGGAGGGTTTTTTTTTGAGGCTTTGCACGACTGAAAATGTATTCACTACATTTTCCAACCCGGCTGTTAGCTTGCCTAACAACTATAGGTTGAAACATATTTGCTGTGAATTTTGAAGGACTGGCTCTATTGTTTTCTAATTTCCAAAGCTGCTTTTGAGAAGTTTATATTATTATTGTTCTTAATAGTTCTTAATAATTTGAATGTTACTGGATTTTCTTTCCTTTAGAATCCCCTATCTCTGGGGTTTGGCAATTTCACAAAGATAAGCTTTAGTTTGGGGCTTCTACCCCCATCATTTTGTTTGATTAAGCCTTTTCAATCTGCAAGTTCATTTTCTTCAGGACAATGTTCTTGTCATTTAAAAAAAGTATCTTCCTTGTCACCATTTTTTATGTCACATTTGAATGGAATTTCAAGTGGCTGAACATTTAACTTCTTGGATTGATTTTCTGGTCTTCTTCCCCATTTCTCATATTTACTTTACCCCTCTTTCCAGGAGTAGTGACTTTTTCAATTTATAAGCATTTTCTCATCAGCTGTTCCTCTTCTAATAGCAAGTAATGTCTCTCTCTCGGATGCATTACTGACTCAGCTTGTGTTCACACCAGTGCCTGATGAACACCCATGTTTTTTAAAAATTGACAACATTGAAGAATGCAACTATTCCAGAAACGCTTTAATAGTCTTGTGACCCATTTCCCCTGGACTGCTCAGGCCCCCTTCTAGACCTGAGAATTGAGAAACTCTCATCACACCTTGCATGTCCCCAAGCCCCTTTCTTTCTCATATAATCTTCTTTTGCCACTAGAGGAGATGGCTTTACTAACTGCTGTTCTCTCTATATGGCAGCACTCATTAATGAAACACTCCCATGGTGGAAACCACCTCAAGGCTCTGAGTCTGGCTTTTTGAGTACTCGAGATATGATCCAGTTAGATTGTTAACAAAAGAGGGGTTATCAATGTCATTATCGATCATCTTGAGCCTGTGATTTGGTTCTGCTGGGTTTGCATCTGGCTGATACTAAGTCAAGTCTGGAAGTCTATCAAATATGAAATAACTATCCAAAATATTGTGGAAATCAGTCTTTTAAACAACAGCAAAACTGCACTGAAATTAGGAAAGATTTTTGCCTATTAGTTATTAGAACTAACAGGTAAATCAGAACAGAAAAATAAAAGTGGGATGTTAAAACAAGGTTATTTGACTAGAAATTTAGCTAGAAATTAAATCAAATGCCATCTAACAAACTCAAGATTAAAATCCCAAACCATTCTTAAGCTATCAGTTATCATCCATTTGTATAATAAGATGGAATGTATTGTACTATCATGTTCTATGGACCCACCTTCCCCCTCATCCCTTCCTGGAAATTCAGCATCTAGTTTGTAAACTACTTGTATCTTGGATGTGTTTAAGAATTTGATGAAGGGCCTCCCTGGTGGCGCGGCGGTTGAGCGCAGCACTGCAGAGGCTGTCCGCAGCCTCTGCAGTGCTGGTTTGAGCCCCACCGGTCTCAGAGCAACCCACATGGCGAGCAGACCTCTCCTGTCTCGCCCGCTACTCCCCTCAGCAGTGTATTTCATCAGTCTGCCTGTTCTGTTCCCCACTCTGTCTCTGGTGAATCCTCTCACCCTCCCCCGCATCTGGCCTGTACCCCGGCTCTTGTATAGATAGAATGAATCTTTGGGAAAAAAAAAAAAAAGAATTTGATGAAAGTCCTGGACCCTCTTCCCATACGTTATTCGATAATTTTATGGTGTTCAAAGCCCACCCCTGGATCCTCAGAATAAAAAAATCCCTAAAGTACAGCATACACACATTCACACAAAACATAGTTACCTCTCCCAAAGGTTAGACCTGAGTTACTGAAGCAGCACCTATCTCTTGACTGTGATTTAAAGCTGTCTGGTAAATGGTTTTCTAAGAATCGTCAGGCCTGAAAAGTGTCCATCTTCCACTAAGTGTCCATTCACCTCTCTCCCACCCTCATCCATCTCCTTTCTAGTCCCATCCATCCAGACCTACATTGATGCACATCCGGAGAAAAAGTCAACTGCCCACTGAAGACAATATACTTCAGAGAGGCAGGAGTGCAGCAGGAAGTCTATTTTATTGTTTTTCTTCCATTCTTAGCCCTATTTGATCCTTTTATTTTCCAATGAAATTGCATATCTTCAGCTCCTGCTCTAGTAATTATGGGTTTTATTAACCTTTTTCTAAATCTACCCTCTCATCATGCATTCCCTCATGGTCCATATCAGAAATGTAAAGCAGTGCATAACGAGACAGTCAAGCTACATAGCCCTAGTTCCCACATCACCCTCTCCAGAAAAGCCTGTGACCACACTCCCAGCGGCCTCCCATGACAGTCCTGCATTGTGCTAAAATACATCCTGGGATATAGCTACCCCCAACCCCCATGGTGTGCGATCACTGAGGCTCCAAAGAGCCAAAGCAGTACGATTTATTGTGGGGTCTCCAGGACTACCCAGCAATTTCCTGTCTTTTAGTCAACATAAAATTTAAACCAGAGTGACCTCCCCCCAAATTAAACCAGCTATGATGAGTCCCCATTTCAAAGCAGATTTTGTATGATACCGGTGAACAAAAGTATATCACAGTTAAGAGAAAAATGACTATTGCTTTGTGGCTCTAAAGAATCAGAAAAAGTATAAACAAACAGAACCAGGCCATAATATCAACACTAGATGGTACTATAGAGATTTCATTCATCTTTACAAATGTTTTTAGGTGCTTATTATGTACCAGGCAATTAATATAGCTAAGAAAAGAGGCTTGGGATAATACTAATGATAGTTAACACTTGTATAGAA